CTAAACCCTAACCCTAAACCCTAGCTGCTCGTCATGGAAGCAGCGCTGGGCGGTGAGCGGTATGTCACTTACCACTTATATACGTGCGAGAGAACCTACTTTTCAAGGAGCGGCCATCCTGGGTTGCGTGGGTTCCCCGGTTACGCCGCCTCCTCTAGAAAGCACCGCAACGCCATGGAAATTGGCCTCCCGCTTCCCTACTGTTGTGGAGGAACTCAATGTCCAGAAGATAGCTGCTGCCTTTCTCGTTCTTCAAACCCCAAACCCTCAACCCCTGAAGCCTAAACCCTAAACCCTAAAGCCTAAACCCAAACCCTAAACCCTAAACCCTAAACCCTAAACCCAAACCCTAAACCCTTATCCTGAACCCTTAAACCCTAGACCCTAGACGTTGGTTTGCTCTGGCTTAGGTACCACGAGGCTCAGAGCAACTCGAAGGGTCTTCTGTTATGCGGATAGTTCTCTAAGTTAGGGTCCCTTTTGGGGTCCTTTTTATAAGGGTGCCGTACTATATTGGGGACCTAAAAAGGGGCCCTAATTTAGATAACTACCCATATGGGGGTCCTTCGAACTTGGGGGTATGGTGTACTGGGTTCTTGGTTTAGGGTTTAGGGGTTCAGGGTTTAGGGGTTTAGGGTTTAGGGATTAATTTTTTCAAGTTGCCACAATAAGGAAGCCATATTACTTACTGTGGATCTCTATGATGGTAGCTTAGATGAGGCTCCTGAACAAGTATCCATTGTAAGGGTGACTTGTGACAGCCAGTGCTCTTGCGGTAGCTCGAAGGGCCCATGTACGAGTTCAGTACATACAAGCCTTTGCACCGAAGCTCCTCACGAGTGGAACCTTCACTTTAGGCTGACATGTATAGGTAACCTTATTTTTTAAACTCCAAGCCCCAAACTCTAAACCCTACACCCTAAACACTCAATCCTCAGCCCATTTCTACTTGTTACGGCCCCTGTGTTAGGTACACCTGGCTCGCTGCTCGCGTGCTGGACGCTTGGTTGCGACGAGTCGACCCCTCCGTTAAACCTTTTGGGTTTAGGGTTCAGGGTCTAGGGTTTAGGATTTACGGTCGAGGGTTTGGGGTTTAGGGTTTAGGGTCCTGGGATCCAAGCTGTGAACTTTCCTTGATAATGGGTGTTTGGGGCTATAATGGGAGTAGTTGGGGGGTCTACGCAGGGTTGAGGGTTCTAGAACTCAGGGTTAAGGTGTTGCAGTTGCGGGATTAGGGTGGTTATGGTTTAGGAGTACGGTTTGCAATTATTTGTCGAGGACATCGTTCGTAGCTATATATCCTGAACCCTAAACCGTAAACCTTTAACTGTCTGTGCTGCCCATGTCCTTGCAGTGACACCAGATTCCCCAAAACCCAAACACAGTGACTTAGATTTCGCCATTTGCAGAAGAACTTTGGCAACCCGCCGCCAACCCAAACCTGGCAGCTGATGTAGGGGCCTAAATTACCAATACTATATTTGTTTTTTTGGGGGGGTCCTTATTGAAGTTTTATAGTTTAACATACCACCAAAGCCGATTCTAATTATTGAGGCCCCTAAATTAGCATTCCAGACCCGCAAACTCAAACCTTCCGTCTCTCATGATGTTTATCACACCATATACGAACCTTTATATCACATCCCAAACCGTCGTATAAGGCCCTGAACCGCTGAACCCTTAAAGCTCTGCAAGCCCCAAGGCTTGCCTCGAAAGAGCCCTGAAGTGACAAAGAGAGCCCCATACTCCCCCATCAAGTTTGGTAGCTCTCTAAATTAGGGTCCCGTTTTAGGTCCCCAATATAGCACGGCACCCTCATAAACATTACCCGAAAAGGGACCCTATTTGGAGAACTAGGCAGTTAGGGTTTCGGGTTCAGGGCTTAGGGTTTAGGGTTTAGGGTGTGATGTGTTTTTTTCAGAACCCTAAACCCTAAACCCTAATTTCAGTGTGTCGCAAGGGTGCTCTCGGCCCCTAAGGTGACGAGCATTTTAGGGCTGCGTGGTTTTTATCAGGGATGTTAGCTTAATCCTAATACAGGGGCCTTAAGAATTGCCTATACTATTTTGGGGGTTCCTTGTTATGATTTTAGTATTATATACCCCAAAACCCTATTTTAATTATTAAGGTCCCTGCATTAAGTTGGCCCTTACAGTTTCAGCAATGCCCTCAGAGGAACCCTGACTTAAGAGAGCCCTTAACTTCTTAACTTGGGCTGACGATCTAAACCCTGCATTACCTTAAGGACCCTAAACTATGGGAATGACGGTCAATTCCTTATTATGGGTAGTGCAGGATTTACATCATCAGCCGTATGAAAAGGGTATTAGGCTCCCTAAACCCCAAAACCCTAACCCCGAAATCGAAACCCTCAAACTAAACCCCTAGACGTCTAAACCCTAAACCCTAAAGCAACTAAACCCCTAGACGTCTAAACCCTAAACCCGAAACCCTAAACCCTAAACCCCTAAACGTCTAAACCATAAACCCTACACCCGAATGACCCAGGGCAGCATTGGGATTCCCATGTGCCTCATCGCGATCCCTGTCACCAAGACACTCGGGGGCAATGGAGGCCCCTGACTGACTAGGTAGGGTTTAGGGTTTAGGGTTTGGGGCTTGGGGGTTCCTGAACCTTAAACCCTAAACCCCGGTTCAGGGTTTAGAATTTATGGCAATGGAGGCCCCGGGCAATGCTACCAACGCGGGCCTTACTAAGTAGAGCAGGGTTTTATGGCTTTAGGGTTTAGGGTTTCTGTGTTGGATTTCTATGGTTTATTCAGTCTAGGGGCTTAGCAACTCGAACAGTCCTTTTTGGTGTATATCACCGTTCAAGCGTACAGGGCTGTACGGTATGCTATGCCCCAAAGCCTAAACCCCCAACCCCTTGCCTCCCTAAACCCACAACCCCTTACCCTACACCCGATAAATCCTGAGCCCTATAGCCTCAAGCCTAAAACCCTACTCAATCCCTAAGCCCTTATAACCTTTGAGAGTCCGATAAGGTATCCCTGAGAGTCTAGGGCTCTAGGTTTCGGTTGAAGGAACTGGACATTTGATCTAGCTTGCAGTATTCGGGCATAGAGAGGGTGCCTCTTCGTTGGGTGCACGAATTTTGTTGCTGGATCCCGGCCTGGAGACTGTTCTGTGGAGGGCATGTGCCCGTTAATGTCAGGTGGTCTGGTGGGCTAGGTGCCGTCCCCTCAACCCTGAACCCTAAACCCTAAACCCTGAATCCTAAACCCTAAACCCTAACCCCTAAACCCTAAACCCTAAACCCTAACCCCTAAACCCTAAACCCTAAACCCTAACCCCCCAAAAACCAAAGCCCAAGTTCCCAAACCCGTAGCCCGGAGCTTTTGACTTTTTGACTTGGCCCAGATGGTGCGGCTCAGGGTTTAGGGTTTAGGGTTTAGGCAGGACAAGGCGGGTCTTCATTTCCGAGAGTCAGCATCGGCCAAGCGCACAATAGTTCAATGAGAATAACATAGGGGCCTTTATGATTTGAATAGGGTTCTGAGGCCCACTATACTATAGTTATAAGAAGGAGCCCCAAAAATAGTATTGGTAATTATTGGGCCCCTACATTACATGCATCGACGAAAGGGGTAGCGATGCCAGAATTGGAAGCTGCCGAACCAGCGGCAGAGCAACACCAACAACAACAGCAG